GTTGAACAGTTATAGAAAGAAAATAACGTATACAGTTCAACTGAATAAAGTGGATAAACGCCAAGTGTTTTAATAATAACACAGTCTTGTGTTCAATAGTAAATAAATATGACTTATTAAAGTTCTGTTCTCAATTTAATTGAGAATACAACTTTAGTAAAAGAAACAGAAACTGGCGAATTTAATAATAAAAAATTCATTTTCAATGAAGCTAAATTGTCAATAAGATTTTCAACATTATTAATTTTCAATATAACAATTTACAATGAAATGATAAGAAATGTGAGATGTTCCTTTTTTTTCGATTTCCTCAAAATAAATAATTTCTTCGTTGCCATTTGTTTAATTTTACAAACTTCAATGTAAAGAGTAGGCTAAATATAAATAATAAATTGTTTCACTTTAATAACGACAAAAGTTCTTCCGCTCAATATTTTACTTCATAAGACTTTCACCTAATATTCATGCATCACAAGTATCGAGTTACGTAGTGAAATATTCCGGTTATTATGAAAATGTTACGAGAATGTGGGAATTATTAATTGTCGAAATGCTCTGAAAGAAGACAATAACGTCATGTTTTGTTTTCTTGGCCTGTAAGTTGATTGGTTAAATAAGATAACGGAACAAGAGAAAATACAATCTGATGAACTGTACAGAAATAACCTCCGGTATGACATAGCTTCCGGTTGTGTTTCCATAGTAACAAAACTCGTTTTTCCGTAAGATTTCTATTCGTTTCGAACGACAAAAAGAAGTCTCTTTATTTTTAATTACAAGACAAGAAGAGTGAAAGTGCCTCGCCATTTACTCTTTTTTATTGAGTTTGGCATTGACATTATGATGAAAATTCGTTGGTCTTGGAATATTAAAAGTGATTTTTGCCTTTTATTTGTCCATCATCTCTTGTTGGCTTATTAACAGCATGTAATTATATCGAATTAAAAATGATGAGATATTGTCTTAGTGATAGCACAAAAATTAAAGTTTCCTCTATGTAATTACAAATATCAATTTCGTAATATACACAAATAATTCTATTCTTTTAATGCAAGTAATTCTAAATTAAAGAAGAATAAAATGATTTTCCTTTATCAATTCCCTTGACATCGTTAAAAGAGGGATTTACTGTCCCAATTCTAGACTTCGAAATATTTGTTTCTCTATTCGATTGTATTTTGTCTAAATCATTATTTTAAAAACTGCATAAATGGTATAGCATTTAAAAGTCACGAAGAGCAATGAAAATATACTTAATCGTTTGAGATATATTTTTCAAATTCTTATATTTATTAATAAAGTAGAAAGCTGGAGCTGAAATAGCAATTGTCCTACAATTTTAAAATAAACTGTTAAGGAAGAAGGGAGAGAAAGAAAGCGGACAAGTTCAATAAAAACAGAGATTAATATATTCTATTCGTTTATTCATTAATATTATTATTGTTTTTTACTCTTATCAGTCGTCATTTCCAAAATTATGTCATAATGTTCATGTTGTTGGGTTCATTTTACTTATCATTATCAAAACATTTTTTCGCCGAATAGGTCGACACGTTTGTTCAAAACAAAAAGTTTCTCTTATGAGTCATGAAAGAAAAAGTATATATTGTATAATGTTAATATATTTTGGTTCCCTAAATTTGCCTAACTATATGTGAACTTCCGGTTTAGACCGGAAATAGTCATATAGACCGGACCACATATAGTCAATTCAAAATATTTATCTTGTTTTTTAGAGCGATAAGTTTGCTGTAAAATTGATCTTTACGATAAACTGAAACCAGTAATATATAACTCAATCCTGTAAGATGTACTGTACTATAGTGTTCACGTGATTACACATCATCTGTGACAAGTTACGTGAAAAATAACGTCATCATAGAGAAAAAGTAGTCACAGTTTCAGATTCAGCGTCAAAAGTTATATTTATATAAATTAAAATATGATTCAAAATTGCAGCCCGGCATTGTGACGACGTCATAACATGTAGTTTCGATTTTTATTTTCAAATTTTTCGCAATTCAATAAGAATCTGAGAAACATGAATACGCCGGTACTAAACCCAAATCATATTTTACAGTTTAGACTATAAATTGATAGAAATAAATTTACTTTTAAAAAATATCAAGTTGTCAATTTTTTATCTGAATAGATGAAATTATTTAAATTTATTTTTTAATAATGTCTTTCATCAATGTATGAAATATGTATAATTTTCGAATTTGATATTAAACATATTACGAAATATGTTTTAGGACCGTAATCATGTATCAGAGAGTCATTTTAAAGTCTTTTTTAAATTTTAATCCAAAATTACGTTATTTTAATCAAAATTTCTATTAATAAAAACTGAGTTGGTACGAAACTTACAACAGAGATATAAAAATATTATATATATTTATACAGTATATATAGCAAGAGATTAATATCTGCTCGTATAACAATTTTTACAAAAAAAAAAAAAATTTGGTACGGGTGATTAGTTCTGTAAATTGAGATTTTGTTCTCCCTTCAACACATCAGTTTGTCGTGCTACGTACAATAAACATAGTTGCAAGGGACGTTCTTGAGTTAATTTATTTTCCACTTAACTCGAGAACTGGGATCAGTCTCCTGCAACTTTCTTTTGTGCGCGTCGCATGACGAATTAAAAAAGATATTGAAGAGAGGAGGTTCAAAATTTCAATTTACAGAATTATCCCGTTCCAAATTTTCCTGTAAATATGAATTTTAATGTTTAAGGAGAAATGAGCAATAATGTAGAGAAATCAACAAAACAGAATTATATTCTACGTATTTGTTAAATCTTATATTCAGTCTAATAATGACTGAATATAAGATTTAACAAATACGTAGAAGAGATTAAAATGTCTTCATTTTTTCGCCATGTAAAAAAAGAACTGAATATAAGAATTTTTAATTTTTAATGCTTTTTTCAAATATTTCCTTTTGTTTAATATATTCTTATGTTTAAATTACATGAAATTCAAATATTTATTTACTAATTAAGTCCTTTTACATCGTTAATAGATTCAATAAATAATTAAAAAGTTTTATAAATTATATTTTTTATACGGCATATAAATGTTAAATATTAAGAATTATAATTTGAGTATAGTTTTAAACTTACTAAATATATCAGAATAATAGTTTGGCTTCATTTTGATGGAATACGGCAACAAATGGGCAATATACAAAGGGAGAATGCTTCTTGAGAGGACTTTCTATACGAGACTGGCCCCTATTTAGTGTTGCATACATAAAGATCTGAATAATGGATAAATAACGAATATAATATAAATCGATGTACAAATATTGATGATTTATTTTAATAGATTATCAATCAGTATGATTGATTAATGTTTATAGGAGAGAAATTCATAAATCATAAAATTTAAACAAGGAAATAATAAAACATTAAATAGTATAATCACTAAACAATAGTCATTTAATAGATATTTTTAATGTTATGAATAATTTTTCACTGTAAATAGGAATCAGGTTATAATTTATCTATGTTTAGCAAAAATTTATAAAAATTTTATTACTTTTAAACAACTGTTTTAATTATAAAATCCTGACAACTTAAATATGGTTTTATTTGAATGTATCTGTGAAATCGGCATGAAAACATTTCCAACTTTGACATTTTTCATTGTTTTTCGTATGTTTGCTGTTGACCTGATATATTTAATACTTTTTTTCTTTCAATCTGTTTTATGGAATTACGTGTGAAAAGTAAATAAAGCATAAAATTTCTGTCAAATTTAATCAAATTGAATTCTGTGTTAGTCAAGAAACCAGCTTGACCTCATCCGTCAAAAATTTAATATCAGAACGGTTGTTGCAAAATCTCGTCTTCGTTCTCTTAGATCTTCAACATCGCACTCTATTAAGATTTTTAGTTTTTACGCCTATCTTTTATCGAAATTAATATAGGTTTCTGTGCCAAGAACTGGTGGTAACAAAGAGCATTCGTGTTAGAATAATTTTTTAGGATTTTCAGACCTTTATCTTGTTTTCATTTAAGCTTAATAAAATAAAAATTTTTACAAGAAAATTAAAAAAAAAATAGAAAACATATATTCTAATAAGTAATTGATTTTTATCTCTTTTATATTTTAATAATAATTTATTATACTTGAGTACATTGAGATAATTTACATGGCTCAGTTTTTTACAGCGAAATTCTTTGAGGTGTTACCTTTTCAAAAAAAAATCCTTGTAAAATATAAATACAATTTTTCATTAAATTTTATCTTATATTAAAGCTTCCTTACAGGCATATCAACCTAAGTCTTCCAGTATCTTTGTTCCGAAGTTCAGAGAATCCGTAGATTCGCTTGAACAATAGAACGTGACAGTTTGCTGAAGTAGAACAGCTCATTCATTACGAGACACGTCTTCTTTATCAAAGACAATATTTATCATTTGGATTGAGTAAGGAAAATATTATTTCCGGGGTTTTCTCATTTGTGATGTTTCTAACCGAAACTTTTATTTTAAAATAACTCAAATAATGTCAATAAAGTTTTATAAAAGTTCAAAAAATTATGATTTCTGATAACTTGTGTTTAAGTCTATAGGACAATTTATATTATCTGAATAAAAGTATAGCTATATAAATTTCAAATGAATTACTTAAAAATAATAACGATAAAAGAAAAATTATCTAAGATCATCGATATTTGCCCAATTTATAACTTGTTAAATAAACGTTTACAATATAATTAGGCCAGGGAGAAACCTTGAAGTTTACTTAGTTTCTTTCTCCGTCTACAATTATAGGTAATTTTATTATATTATATTCTAAAGTTAACGAACTGGTAGCCTTTGAAAATATTTATAGATATAGTATTTAGCATAATTGAAACATTCAATGATACACATACAAATCTGTAGATAGCGAAAAAGAGAATAAGTCACACTTCGATGCTTTTCGTTTGATGAACATACGGTATAACACGTGATTTATCCAAGTTGTTTTATTCTTTTTCCAGATGAAAATATACTCACTGGCAGACTGACCTGTTTTAGAAGAAATAAGAAAGTAGATTCAGATGGGATTTAAGGTAAGTGATCTTATTAACACAGTACCTTGTACTCGAAGGTATAAATTAGACTATTTTTCTTTAATTAATCTAAACTTGAGTTTGTAATAGTTAAATGATACAGCATCTTTACGTGAAGTTCATTGAAACTAAAATTTGACATTAAATTGAAAAGTATTTAATATTTTTCAAAAAATTACATTAAAATAAAGCGATACACAAAAATTATCTATACTGCTTTTTATTATTTATTTACCAAAATTTATTATTATTTTGCTGGAATTAAAACATGAAGTTTTATTATATTACTTTCAATAGAAAACTTTCGAAATTTTCATGTTATTTTACTAAAATTTGATATTTTTATTTATAATTTGAGAATTATTTATTATAGAAACTTGTAAACTAAAAACTTCTAAGAGTCAATACATATACTTTTCAATAACTGTTCATGCATTTCTATTTATCTCTATTTTTGATATTATTGATCACTTTTGAAGAATTTTCCAGAAATCTCAGAAATGTTTAATTCAAAATATCTAGAGAATACTAAAACATCTGTTTACAAACTACAAAAACATTAATATTTTAATGCTGTAAGGATTGAAAATCATTAAGAAATACGCCTACTAACGTAGCTATATATTTTAATTACACCTATTTTTTAATCCATAAAAATGTTTATTTTAATGTACAGTACTATAAATTAAAAATAAATTAATATTTCAAAACATATATGATTTTATCTCTCACTAAATTTAATAATTCTGCATGTTTTTCTCAAACTTAATAGATGTATAAATATAGAAAGAACTATAATGATGTAGTGAATATTTATTGTGAAAGTATTCTTTATAAATCTCTATTTGTTTTTTAAAATTATCAAAAATTTAAATAAAATTTTGAATCCACAAAATACTAAGTGTAAAATTTTTAAGGAGAAAAGAGGATACTAAAATTAAACAAAGAAAAAGAATTAACTTTTCTAAACATATATAAACAATTAAACTTGTATTTTAGTTTAAAATTTACAACTTTATTTAAATATTTTTTACTGTATGAATATTTATTAGTTTAAATTGTAAAAGTATTATTCAACAATTACGTAACATAGAATTATAAAATAAAATATTTCAAAGGTTTTTATTAGAAAACATAATTTAACTAAACGGCATAAATTTAGATTTCCTGTAGAGTTTTGTTGAAGATAAGTATAATTTTTCATTTTTTATTATATAAATATATTACTTGGTTTAGCATTCCGTTAACAATATCGAATTGGATGTTATTTCTTCACTTTTAAATAATATTTAGCGAACTAATAGCTCTGTATATGTATATATAATAATTCTCGACATTTTATTTAATCATCATTATATAATAACACTTATAATACAGTCTTTTAATAAATTATTATAGTTTTTTTTATATCAAATACTTAATCTTCATTTACATTCCTTCACACAATGTATACATTTTCATTATGGGAAGAAATAGAGAGAAGACGAGATAAGGATAAAAGTGATTTCTCCATTTAAATCATATAAAAAGTTGAAATGAGTTCCTTGTACTACTGAGAAATTTTTAAAGTTCTTTGACTTTCCTCACTGAATTTTGATGGTGACGTGTTTATTTATTTCCTTACGCCGATTGATACGCTCTCACATCTGGATCATAGCAAATGGATTGCAATAACACCAAATAATAAATAAAAATGCAGTCAAGTATAAAAATTCTTATATCAGCGAGTGTTCAGTTTAAATAAATTTCGTTTATTTTTATTATATCAATAAACAAAATAAAATATATATATATACAATTTATACATTTTAAATGTTATGTAATTATAGTTTTAATTTACATTTTTAAGAATTCTGTCGAAATTTAAGTTTTTAAAAATAAATATATCTACAATAATATAAAATATTTATTGCATTTTATGTAATAAATATTTTATTTATGTAAAGAGGAATTTTTAAATTCTGACAAAATTCATAAAAATTTATCGTAATATATTCCATAACGTGCTTTTTACGGACTTTTCTTCGTAAGAAAATCCATTTTGATACTGTAAAAAGATATTATTTATAATGTTCTTTTAATAATAATTAATAAATCTTTGATACAATTATTTAAGCATAGAAAGTTAGACTCATCGGAGGAGCATATGAATGCACGCCCTACTAACTGTTACAGTTAATTAACGCTCTTTGTAGAGAAACTTTTCCTATTAACTACTGAGCAGGTCAGTAACCTCTCGCAACCATCGCGAATCCCAGAGAGATTCATTTATATTTTATTTGACAGCATAAAAATATATTTATATAAGTTTCAGTTTTAAATTCTAAGACAATAATGAACATATCAATGTTCATCTTGAACTTAATATAATACAATGAAAAGATGTTTTGATGGCTTAATGTAGCTTACTTTTTATAACAGAATATATTCTTTTATTCTTTTTTTCACATTTTTAAAAATTTAAATGTTGAATAAGAATGCATTTTAAAAATCATTATTTTTATATATTTTATTTAGATAAAATTTAATTAACTTTTAAAATTTAAAAAGCTATGTAATGTATTAATATTCCAATTATATTTTAATTAATTAATATATAAATTACTTAATTAAAGTAATGCTATATTAAATCATTAATGTGATGTCAAAATGAATTTAAGAACCAAAATATTTCAGATATGCAATTTAAATTAATAATTGCATAATATTTATTTTTTAAGAAAATCAACTTTTAAAATTAGAATAAAATTTAAAGATATATTTTAGATATCGCATAGGAAATACTTCAGGATATGAAGTACTGTACACGATTTTGAAAATTTTAATGCATCTCTTTTCCAAAATTCGTCTCGTCGTCTCGTTTAGTGTAATGTTTTACGTATCAACACATTGACACTCCATTAGAAATGCGTTTAAATATTGTCATTTTTATTAACAGCTACTAAATTAACTATTTATCACCTAAATAATACTTAATTATAGTGATTAACAATTTAATTATATTGACCAAACCACTGGACTAGATTATACTTTTAGTTTCCATGATTCTAAATACTGTACTGTTTTAGAATCAAGTTTTAAATATAATTCAGTAGATTCACGCAAAAGATCGATTTATATAAAAAAAATACACGAGTTTCCTTTTGTTTTTTTTCATTCGTTTTACTGATTCACGCAAATAAATAAATAAATTCTCATTTCTTCAGTGATTCGTGCAAATGATTAAGTTGTGCTTTTAAAAAATTGCCGTATATTATATTATAAAATGTGCCAAATATTGACATGAATCAGTGGACCAACAAGAAAAAATCAAGGAGATTGCATAGACTATTATTACTTTTTGTTAAGTTAATAAAAATAATGTAGTCAGAAGTGTCGCGAATTTTTTTTTTATAAGAGACAGTTTAGATCATGTTCTGAAAGATAACTTCATGCTCGAATGTTAGTAATCAAATACAATGGAGCAGAGGATTTGCTTACCCATTCCAGTGTCCTTGATATTCTACAATACTTCTCACAGAATGTATAGGCCAATACTTTTATTTCCAAAACATGATACATTATTCAAAGCATCGTGACACGCTCACAACTAATCTCAATAATAGATAGTAGCAATGTTTCCTTTAATCATCTCATATTACGTGTCTTGGATTATTTTAAATTATACTTTAATGTAAGCGTATACTTATTATTATATAACCTTGAAATATTTTCAAATTTATAAATAATTTTTAAATTATTTAATAATGTGTACTGAATTCATTGAATTATCATGACTAATATTTTAGTTATTTTGTTTTGAAAGACAAGCAAAAAATTATAGTATTGTATATAGAATTTTTCCTGTAAAGTAATTTTTCTTTTCAAAAATATACGCTGTTTTCCTTAAAAGTAGAGGAAACTACTGAAATTTTCTTAAAAAATAAATGCAGAAAATTTTGCTAATGATGAATTTAATATCTTAATGTAGTCATTTCACTTATAATTAAGATTTATTATATATATATATTTTCTCCTNAGGAAAAAATTATTTTTATCAGCGGTTGTTGGTCATGTTTAATTGGATTTATTATTTTAGGTAAGTATTTTTTTTTAATTTAAAACTTAATTAAAATTATTTTTTATTATTTATATAAGTTTATAAGCAATACATTATATTTTGTTTATTGAGGACATAATTATATGAATTAATAAAATCTAGATATCGATATAAATTATTTTAATGTTTTAGTCAAATAAATGATAATTATGGCACTAGTTTCTGTCGATCAAAGCGTAAAAAGAACAATAAAATGAAGTACCGATGATTATGTAATGTATGATTATGTTAAGTTCCGCAACTTCACTCGAGACAATGAGATTGCTGACATTAAAGAAAATTAGGATACGTTGAAGTATCAAATTTTCTGTTCTTTTTTCTTCTAATTGTGCAATTTTGGACTAAATATAACTATAAATTTTATATTTTAATGACAATTTTATTGCTTTTCCTCGCAAATTTTAAGATTTATCTGTTGTCATTATAATTATTATAAATATTAAAAACTTATTTACTATTTGTTAAATCAATTGAGTAAAATTCGTGATTGCTTTTACAGTTTGAATCACGTGAAAACTTTTAAAAACTTATTTGAAATTTTATCATTAATCGAATTTTATGCTAATTATCAATTTATTTTCATAAGACCTATATTTTTGCAGGAAACTATTATATATGCCTAATAAATTTATGTGAATAAATAGAAATTTAAAATTCTTTATTAGTATAGGTCATAATAAAAGAGTAATAAATGAAATAGTTACTTAGTGTTTTAATATAAAATAATTTTTGCGTACTTTTATCTTATGGAACAGATTATTAATCCAATCGCAAGCAAATATATTTATACAAAGCGTAATGTTAATTCACGCCATTAATTTATAAAGATTCGAAACACAAACTGTAATTTAATATAATTCCTACAAATCAATGCTATCAATAACAATATATATTACAATATTTTACAACTCTCTTGTCTATTTGTTAATGAGTAAGCTAGTCTGTAGACGAGCAAATTTCAATTTGACTATAGAATTTAATAAGATCTAAAAGCTTTTGGGGAATATATTCGTATCGTCTTTCCAATTTTAAATCTAAGTTTCTTAACACGATGATTTTTATACACTCTATTATTCCTATCTATAATTTAATTTAACTTCTTGCTAACATACAATTTTTAATAAGAAAATTATGAATTTATTTACATAATATAATTATTGAGATTAGGTACGAATTGTAAATTAATTTTACACATCATGTATTACATGTCATACAGCATATAATAAAAGATTACAATTAAATTTCTGTGACACTTCTATGATTTATTTTCTAAAAACTGTAATATTTAGTGTTATAAGTCCTTATCTGCAAGTTTTTTTTTATTTCAGTCTCAAACAAACATATTTAATTGTTACTGTATTATTAAGCACTTAAATCCTGAAAGGTCAATTCAAGAGTTGATAATCGAATCTTCTTCGTTTGATGTTTAACTATCCGCTATAATTTGTTTAAAAAACAAGTTCAGAAGTAACATTTAACAGGTAGATTCCTTTAAACTTTTTCATTATTTGATTAAATTATTTATAGTCAGCGGCCTTGATCGAATTTTTTAACCTACTATTTATGCATCAGTGTATAGCTATTGTTTCGTTAAAAAAACATTTTTTTTAGTACCGCTTGATCTATTAATGATAAAATATATATTTCAAATTACGAATAACGCAATGATATTGTGCTATTATATTAATAGATCGATTGTATATTTATACGAGCACATCGTAATTACATATAGCCTATGTATATGAAATATTTTATGAAAACTATAAATTCGTATGAGTTTTGATTAATCGTTGGCATTATTATTTTGACTTCCATTGCTCACTGCCATAAATACAATTCTCCCTATTAAATTCTATATCTTTCTTAATGCTAAACATAATGCTTGCTTTCGTTTTCTGGTGTATTATTTCTGTATAGTTTATTTTCCCGTAATCATTTTTCATAAAATTACTAATTTTAAAACAACATTTCAATTGTTTTAACTATGAATTCATATAAATGCAGAAGGAAGAAAGTTAATTATAAACATGCAACATTTTGGCATTTAAATGATTAAATAAAAAATTTTTATAATTATTATAAAAATCAAACTTATGTTTTAATTTAATAATAATAATTAATTTTTATATGAATAATTTGAAATAATTTATTTGATAAATACAAAACTTTTTAGTTCAATAATAATTTGTAATTTTAATGAAATGAAACTATTTGATACGATAACAACAAATAAAAATAAAATTTATATTCGTGTAATCTTTATTAACCTTGAATGGTGTAACTTAAATAAAATAATTTCGATACAAAATGACTTTAATAAAAATATAAAAATAAAATAATATGGAATGTACTTTTAAAAAGCTGCAAGTCCGGATGTATTCAGATGTAATCTTTTAATATCTTATTTAATGTGTGAACTTGTCGACTATTCAACTGTACTTGGGTGAATATATACACAAATGCTATAAATTTATAATAGTAATTAGCAAAGTGAAAGATCACATATCTTGGCCTGACAATGCGCAGTACTCGGGTGAGGCTCTAGAAGTTTTATGAAGTTCAAGAGCCCTTTTAACTTTCTTCAAACAATCCCTTCCCTTCGCTATATAAATAGACTGATCTCTGCGAAAGCGCACTTTTTACAGCCCAGCCAAAATTCATGCATGAAACGAGTTGTAGATGAGAATTTCGACTTCGTTATGATTATTTCCCCCTGTAAAGAAAGATTTTAAAAACCGTTATTTATGAAATATTTTATAATATTTTTCTTTCATGATATCTTTAAATCTATAAATGATTAGAGAAATATAAATTTTTGTAGAGAACTAAGGAAGACTGAAAAACGTCTTTAGAATATTAGTAATGATATTGATAAACTGTATATTTTAATTTCCAAAAACTAGAATTGAAAAATAGGTCAATTTTATTTTCTTACAGATTATAAATTTTTACAATTATTTATTTTAAAGAGAAA